TTCATTTTGTTCGGCTTCGGCCTAGAATTTTCATTTCGGTGCATCCCTAATATATATAAACAAATATCCCAGTTTGAATACTAAATCGAAACCATTTAATCAATAACTAATGAAATGTAAAAAATTGAAGGCAGCACTACAAACTACAATAATAAAATATATTATTATTATTATTATTATTATTATTCTACACTGGATTTAAATATGATAATATGATAAACAAAACTAAGATTACTAAACACTTATTTGTATTAGAGAGCATTTAATGAGCCAAATATTTAATAAAAATAATAAGAAATTTAAATTTAATTGGTTTATTACATTAGTCTTCATTAGCCTCGTGTTGACAAACTTTTAAACATTTTCTACAAAAATAAAAAACTAAAATATTTTACATGTACACACATTTAATATCAATATTCTTTTAAAATAGAAAAGACAACACCACAGAACAGGTAAACTTCAATACTAACTAATTTGTACTAGACTGATTATTATTATTATTATTATTATTATTAAGATTACTAGACAACACTGGTATCATCATTTAATGGGCCAAAATCTTAATAAAAAAAAAAAAACCTACATATGATAACTTATCACGTATTAACTTTTTACAGTTTTGTGCTGAAAAGCAGCACACTGTAATTTGTGACAGGTGCCAAAATGTACCAAAAAAAAAGATATTGTACAGCAGTAAATTGAGTCCCTTTTTTTTTTTTTTTTTGAGTAATTTTGTTTACAACAACCCTATATTGAAATAAATAAAAGTGTAGAAACCTTAAACAGAGAAGCCTTTTGCTTTTCTAAAAGGAGGGGATACAAACTTATATACGTTCAGGATCTAATTGTGCCGTTAACCATATCAACGTTATGTAAACGAATACAGCAGCACTTTAATGAAGAAATCCTATAAAGGAACGCATTTCTTAGGTCCTGACGACTCAAGCCAGTAAAAATGTTTAAGCTATTGCCAATGTTCAACAATTCGACTTCCCTGGAAACTTGGGAGGTCTTGGACCAGCAGGGGGAAAAACAAGTCGAGTAACTGTTCCAGTTTTCAAAATGTATCACGTTCTTGACAATACAGTGTCAACAGTTGGGAAAGTCGTGCTTGGATTGGTATGATAACCAGTCGCACAGGTTTAATCTTGGCGTACGTACGATTCCAGTATTGACATCCTTGACAACTGCCATTTATTTAAATAAACAAAAGAGACTAAATTCAAAACCATGAACACAGGCCTATAAATGGTGAATGGCTAGATAAGAACCCACCTTTCAGGTAAGGTAATTTTGTGAATTTGAATTGAAAACGCCACAATCATTTGGGCTTCATCAAATTCCATGAGACACAAACACAAGCTATTTTAATTTACATTAGTCTCAATCACATCACTAGGCATTAGAAAACTTCTCTAGAAGCCATGGCCACGTGGTTCGTTCACACGCTCAACTTACGAGCTCATACGGGAGATGCAGGTTCGATTTCCCATTGTTTTCCTGTCCCATGATCTCTCCCTGAGCTGAGTCATGGCTAGTTTTAACTCCAACAGCTGGATTGTCAAGTTCCAGTCTCCCTGCTGACTCTCTGCTCGCTGTCTTCCTCTCCGTCTGTCTCTCTCTCTGTACTGCCGGTGGTTTTCGGACAGGGGAAACCCAATAAACAGCCTGGTTGCATAACCACTGCTCTCCTGGCTCCTTCGGCTTGCCAAATAGCTGCACCTCCCTGCAGCTTTACAACAATTGCGCCACAGAAACCCGAACCAAAACCGTTTGAAAATTACTGGAGCACCTTGACATCAGGTTTTCCTCCATATTAGGTCATTTTGTGGGAATCAAACACACAGATGTTTGATTGATGACAATATAAAAGCCTTAAGAGGAAACTGGAGATCTGGTACTGAAATATATGCATGCACAAAACAAATAGCGGGACGAATTTAACAGTGTACTGAAATAATAGAAAGGTATTTGTCTTAGTGACTGCAAATTGCTGTTTGCAACCTGATTTTATTTCCGTAATCGGATGCATTTACGCGAAACGGGACAGGCAATAAGAGGAAACAAAAAAATTCCCTAATTTTATCAATCAGGAATTGACTGGATGACAGGCTGTTAAATACCAAAATAGCACCAGACCAAATCAGAATTTGCTGAAAACAATACCTAGAAAACTATCTGATCATTATCTCACATTAGCTATTAACCAAACCATTAGCCAACTGGCATTAGCTGGGAGAAAATACCTAAATAAATAATTTATATTAACAAATTAATTCATTTTTAACGTACACTACCAATCAAACGTTTGGGTCACTAAGATTCTTTTTAAAGAAATTAATACTTTTATTCAGCAAGGATGAATTAAATAGATAAAAAATTACAGTAAATACTTTTATATTTAAAAAAAAATCTTTAAAAAGATGTTCTGAATTTTCTATTCATATTAGTTAAGAATTCAGAAAATTCAAAAACATTCCAAAATTTCAAAAAATATTAAGCAGCATAACTGTTTTTAACATTAAGAATAATAATAACAAATGTTTCTTGAGCAGTAGGCCTAAACCAGCATTTTAGAATGATTTCTGAAAGGATCATGTGACACTGAAGACTGGAGTAATAATGCTGAAAATTCAGCTTTGCATCACAAGAATAAATTACATTTTTCAATATATTAAAACAGAAAACCGTTATTTTAAATAGCAATAACATTTCACAATATTACTGTTTTTACTACATCTACATCAAATAAATTCAGCCTTGGTGAGCAAAACAAATTTCTTTACAGAACCCCAAGCTTTTGAACACTAGTGTAGGTTACATGATAAACGTTTAGGCTATATAACTGGATAATATTAGTTCCAAAGCAAATATAAGAATTTCCAGAGGTAGAAATTTATGAAAGTAAAAAAAACACTTTAGAATAGGGTAAACTGATGAATCCCATTGATATGTACTGAAGTAAATGGTGTAGGGATGTTCATTTTAACCGGTTAACCGACCGTGAAGAATTTTGACCGATTAATACAATCAGTTAAACGGTTTAAAAAGGCATTTATTTAT